TGGTTTTTAACAGATTAAGCTTAAAAAATCTGCATACAAACATTTAAAAATATTTTCGACGGAATCGTAATAATGAAATTTTCGATGCTGGTTTTTAACCTTTTTCAAAGATTGATTTACGAAAAACTTGAATAACCCGGCCAGAACCGTTCTGATTTAGACTTATGGGGTCTCAGTTGAAAGGTATTTTCCCATTCTTTTTTATTTCCGTGCAAAAAAAAAACTCATTCACGTCCCATTTTTTTTAACCGACTTCGCAAAAAGAAGAAGGTTATCAGTTCGTCGGAATATATTTAATTTTTTATTATGTATGTTACCGCATAACTTTGGACCTCGTTCTGTTTTCATCGGAGAGGTGGTACCTCGCGCAGAGAACTAAAACAAACAATAGCAAACGTATCGATATCGTTTAGTTTCGCTCATAGAAGGTAAGGAAACACAACCGATTCAAATCACTCGTAACTAGGTGGGCAATCAACGGCGGCTGTCGTAGAATCCTAATATTGTGCCTGAGGATATTGCAGACAGAATTGTCGCAGCACGAGCTGCTATTAGGCTCAGGTAAACCGGAAAGAAAAATTTTCTCTGCTACAGCAAATGTTTTCATAGGACACTTTAAAACACGTTACCTCTCAAGGGCTGGTGATGGGTGTTCTGACAGGCCATTGTGCAGTTGGTATTCATGCGGTGAGACTAAGAATTTCGGCTGATCATTTTGTGTCAGCTGTCAAGAGGAAAATGAAGTGAATCTCCACACTTTCTTTTAGACTGTCCAAGCTTCGCGAGACTAAGATGGAAGCATTTTTGCCCGCAATTCTGAACAAACACTGAGCTCCTGAGGGATCGAAATTAGCCGGATTCGAAAATTTATAATCAACTCGCGGCGTTAACTTAATCCAACCTAGCCTGTACTTCTTTGAGCTATGAAATAGTTGGTCACATTAAAGATGAGTACCTTTACCACAATCGAAACCATGCAAGTGAGCAAAAGAACAAACGATTCGTTTGGTTTTTGCTCGGCTGCCGTTGAAATGTATCGTATTGTTAGCGCTCGGGAACATTATTAGAAAAGGAAAACAAACTTTTCGTAATTCTCAAAAATCAACGATAATTTTTAAAGGCTTGAAAGTTGCGCCTTATTATATTAAAATTTAATGGGCTACAAAACTGCGTACTCAAAATGTCAAATGCTAAGAAATCGAATTGAAAAGTTGAAAATTTTGATGGAAATTTTTTTGGTATTTCTTGAATTTTCCCGAGTTCGATATGAAATTGAATGAAATCGGTTCTTCTGGTTTCTGCTGTAGATTGAATTATATTTTTATAACAAAATAAAAAAAATTGGTATGGAAAATATAAAATAAGAAAGTCGTCAGGGTATTAATATTTTTGACGCTGACTGTATATTTTAACTTAATATTTTATTAAAAATACCTTTACAAACGTTTTTTCCTTGATAGCGTCCATTTTTGTTTACTTTTACATTTGGCATTTCTCCTCTTCTTCGCAAAAGTAACCGATAATACTAGGTTGGACACCGAAAAGTTGTCGGTTTAATCTGAGATTTTTTAATAATAACAGATTAAAGAGGGACGAATTTTGTATGGCGAATCTCTTTTTCTAATTACAGATTAGCGAGTTAAGCTCGAAAATGAGGATAATCTATTTATATGTAGGTAAACCTAGTATAAAAAATTTGATTTATTTCAATTTTAGGGATCGAGTACTCTTTATGTTTATCTTATTAAGTTAAAATTTTGCATTGACTAAATAGTTTTTGTGCAACGAAACTCACTGAAAAATAAGAGCCACCCTAAAGTATGTACCTACATAAATACATATGTACATGTACATATACTTAGATAGAAGCCTAGTAGATCAGATATTAAGAATTTTATTGATTTCGTTAGCCGTTGATTTTCGTCAGCCGTTAGCTTACATATGTAAGTATGAGCAGGCAGGCATACATAACGCTTTTAGCTAATTCCCTTTTAGATTCGTTTTGACATACATACATATATATGTATATATTAGTTTTTTCTTGTTATCGTCGCATGATTATCGTAAGTCTACTGTCCCTTCTATCGTCGTTTAAAGAGCAAAGATGTTGCTTTGACCAGGGCTTGAACCCTGGCCCTGCGGTGTGGAAGAGCGCTCTGCTTACCATATCAATTCGTCGGAATATTTTTTTGGGTATGTTGCCGCATAACTTTGAACCACGTTAACCGATTTCTATAATACTTTTTTTTTAAGGAAAGGCGGTACCTCAGAGGTTGTCGTCCCCCATTCTAATTTGGCCTAGATCCGATAATGGGATCTTGAAGAAATTAACGGTACCTACTCTTAAATTTTTATATGAGAATTGAAGTCGGTTTTGTTTTTTGCTTAAAAATTACTTGTTTTAACTAAAGCAGTCTTCTAAAATGAAGCATTTAAAAAGCTTTTCGTCTTAATGAAACTCAAATAAATTTTTTTGTTGTAAATTGATTTGTTAATTTTATAATACTTGGATGGTTAAGGGCAACCCTGTCCCTATGGAGTCTTACATAAACATATGTATATATGAATTCAGTATAAGCACAAAGTAGTAAGTCTTTTATGAAATAACTGACTTCTAACTAAATAAATTACTAAAGTTAATCTAGAGAATTAATGTTTACATACATATCGTCGTTTAAACTACAAAACCGCGTAACTGACATTTGCTGCCAAAAATTGGATTTGCTCACACAAGCTGTTGACTTAATCCTTATCCATTCGTCTGAAATAAGCCAGCTGGAAAAGCGATTGCTTTTTTGGAAAAGAGAACCATTTTGAAATAAGAGTGTTTTTACTCTCTAGAAAATAATTTCTACCACTTCACATACGCGGTTTTGCATTTTGTTGATACGCGGTTTTGTACTTTAACCGACGATATGTATGTCTGTTTGTACTAAATATCTTAAAACGTTACATGTTTTTTTTTCGTTTGCTCTGAAATAGTCACACAAAATAACAGTTGTGTGCATATACATATATACAAATGTAGTATATACGTAAATATGTACGTACATATATTTATTATTAGATAATAGAATATTCCTTAGCATCCCCTAGTGGAAATCGTAGTCACGGTTGCCACTTGTTAAAAAAATAACCAACCAAAATTTGAAAAAAAAAACAACCTAATTGAAAAACAAACAACCAAATTTGTTTTTGTATCCAAAAAATGTTATTTTTAAACAATAATTTTAAAATATATGCTCACACTGAGTTTTTGAAAACATGTATACGTATTCGCCAGTAGCAGAGTGTGCAGAGGTGTGTGCTCTTATTTGTTAGCTTTCAGGAGGTTCCAGGTCCGAATGCCGTCAAAAGCAACACATTAAAATTATACATATGTAGATATGTAGTAAATGTATTTATTAAAACTGAAATAATTCCTGAATCTTAAAATTGTTTTTTGTTTAGTTTCTTGTAACTATGAAAATGTTTCAGTGAAGTTCGGAATGAAATCGTTTTGAACGAAAAATTTAATCAGACAAATTTCAGGAAAGCGCATCCGTTTCACAGCCATTTTCGATAGTTTTCTCTACATATGTTTCCGATGAAGACTTTAGTGGGAGAAAGGATCCGAAAAACGACCGAAAACGGAATCGGAAAACGGATGAAACATCAGGGTTTTGTACGAAATGGTTTCCATTTTTGGATACATTTCCGGATATTTTGCTGGCTGGGATGTTACAATGAAAATAAGAATTTTAAAAATTTATTTATTAATTTTTGACACTCTAATTAAAAAAAGCACCGAAATAAAAGAAAAAACTACCAAACAACCAAATTCGAAAAAGAAAAGAAAAACAACCAAGTTTGGTTGGAAACAAACCAACAGTGGCAACCGTGATCGTGTTTATTAGGTTATCAGTTAAAGATTCTTATTATTCTTTGGTGTATTTTATTGTTGTAAGCTGAATAAAAAATACACCGGTATACGGATTCCACTTCAAAAGCTACTGAGAAAATGTTATCGTTTCCAAATAACTTAAAATGCGCTTTGATCTAGTCAAATCAAGTTTTTCATTCCTTACTACGACTAGCTTCAATGTATTCAAAAGGTGGTTAACCACCATACAAAAATTCGTCAGATATCCCCAATTTGATTTTAATAAGATGGTATATATACATTGATAAATACATATATGTATGTACAACAACTTATAAACTTTTTCTTGTGAGTAATAAAATTAATGGACAATGCAAGGAAGTGAACCAGACAAGATTTTTTTGTAAATTGCTTTTTAATTACAATATTAAAAATAATCTGGCAGCAACATACTTGTAGATAAATAAAGAAAACGGAGATGTTTAAAGATATGTATATGTATGTACATACGATTCTACATACTACACGTAATAATTGAATCCATACAAGCTTGTTCATGTTTTTAAAGTTATTAAAATTTATTTGGTAAACATTATTTTTTTAATATGAAAATGCAACCAACCTTTTTTCCAAATCTTCTAAAGTATTCGTAGCGCCAATTGTTTTTCTCTATGTTTACTCATGGTACATTTAATTATTCACAGGTATTATCTTCCCAGTTCAATGCTGATTATTTTATTTTTATTTGGCTTTGCTTTTTGTTTTCGCTCAATTTAATTTTTATAATTTTTCAAAACAAAAGAAAAACGTTTGAAATGAAACTAGCCATACAAATTTTGAATTTATTTACTAAGCAAATACATATGTACGTATATGGTATATGGGGTATGGAAATATCCCTTTCCCCCAGCAGTTTTTTTTTTTTTTTTTTTTTTTTTTAAATAAGGCAGAATGTGCGCTCTCTGGGAAGACAATACCTGTAATTATTGTACCACGATGTTTACTTAAATCGCACTTAAAATTTATTTCTCATAATTTTTTGCTACACCACTGCTTTCATAACAAAAAAAAAATAAAATAAACAAATGAAAATTTCACTACTGCATTTTTATTTTTTCTTTTTTCTTTTCTTTTTCAGAATGAACAGGTTGTGAGCATCGTGAGTTTGTTTATTTAAATATTCATTTTGTCGTTTTTGCTTTTATTGCGCATTTTATTTATGTATTTATAAATTTAATTTAATTTATCGTTAAATATCAAGTAGAGTGTGTTTGGTAAAAGCGTGCAGGCGGCAATAAATTATCGCTCAACATAGCAGAACAAAACTACTTTTTATCAATTGAATTTAAACATTTAAAAATTTTTAATAAGTAACTTGACCAATTCTAGCCTCGCAACTTAGATCCGACTTTCTATCTATATCTATGTATTTCTGAGGCATTTGCAGCCAAATCCGTTTTAAAATGAATCTAAACTGCGTTATCGTTTCTATATCCTCTATGCGCTAAGCATCTGGAAACTGAGATGGCAAATCTAATTCGTTAACATAAATAATATGTAATTTTCTCCTTTGAAACGCTGGCAGACATGGCTGCAGAGTATTGAAACGCTATTCGAATATAATAAAACAAATCTTGGGTTCCCGGCCCAACCAATATTTTTTGCAGATGCTAACTATTAACTATTTCAGCAGTTTTCTTCGCGTTTTAGTGCAAGTTGCATCAACTAAAGCCGATGCATGTCTTTAACAATAGGGGTATTCTCTGAGTCTTGCAAAGCCCTTGCACGGTGCACGGATTGCACGGTTTGCAAAGCTGTCCCATACGAAAACCGGTTTTTACCGTGCAATCCGTGCAATCTGTGAACCATGCAAGGGCTTTGCAAGACTCAGAGAATACCCCTAATTATTTAGATTTTTATTTTGTGTGTTTATGAGTTAGTGCGAGGGCATTCATTAAAAAAATATGCCTTCCCATTGTCCAAATTGGGAAAAAAAGCTTTTCCGCGTTAAGCTTTCTTTTTTACCAAACACACAGTTCATAAGTAGCATATATGCTTCATTAGTGCTTTTGTTTAATTTTTGTTGATCGATTATATATATATATATAATGTATGTAAATATGTATGCAAAATTGTTAAGTAGTTGCTAAGTATATTCTGTGTATACTTTATTAGGCCTGTTCTTTGCTGGTAATAAAAATTTTGTAATATTTAACTAAGGCCTCAGTTTTTGTTAATAAAATGTCAACATTTTTCGATTACAAAGTGTTCTGTAACAATCAACAAACGTATGTATATACATTATTATTATTATTATTATTATTATTGAAATCGGACTAAAATTACGTCTTTTCATATAACGGTAAATTTTAGAAACGCTACATTAATGTATGTAGTACATACATACATACATACATGTGTACATACATATGTGTGTATTTTATTTATTTATTTATTTATTTACTAACAGCTGTAACTTATAATTAAAATTACAAGTTAAGAACTTAGAGCTATGGCTACAAATACCTTAAGCTAACTTCTTAGTTAACATTTTTTGTTTTGTTCTTGTTTCGATATGGAGGCTATGCTCAAATGTTGTAGTTGTAATTTTTAGAACTTCACGAAAACGCTTATTGCACGACAACTAGTGAAACGGTTTCAAAGAAAGGTGTGGGTGGCGTTTCAAAGACAAAATTCCAAACCTATCGACAGATACATTTCTGTAACCAATTCGGTGTCTGCTGTAGAAACAACGGTAAATATTGGCTTATTTCGGGGTCAATTTTGAACCTTTAAAGTGCTCTAGCAACTTATGATTTGCAGATACATATAACTTTCATCGGGATATAGGTTCTTTGGAGCAGTACAAATTTTATATGAATTCAACAAATATCGAGTATTTTAAGGCAAAGAATTGTTGAAAAAATTACAAAATTTTTTTTTTATATCCAAAATTCTCGAAAACCGCTCGATAGATTTTGTTTTTTTAATCGAAAAATCAAGTTTTTTCATTTCGTTTGGTATATGGGAAGCAAGGCAAATTTATTACAAGGTGGTTTTGATGGCGAATTAAATTTTCGCCGCGGTACTACTGAATGTCAAAGTGATGTGTTTGTTGTAAACAAGGCGAATTCATTTTACAACAAACACATCATTTTGACATTAAGACGTACCTCGGCGAAAATCGAAATTCGCCATCAACACCACCTTGTATAAATTCGCCTTGATGGGAAGTATTGGTTGATACTTTCTAAGCATGCTTATTTTATTCAATTATATGGGTATAAATGATTTTCCATACAAAATCACTTCATCATTTTGCAAATACGTGCATGCGCTGGAAGTGAGAGAAGGAGACAAAAAGTATGTGTGCGTATGTATGTAGGTATTTCGGATTTTGAGTAACAGATGGTGCATTATTTATAGAAGGCAAAGGTGGAGGGGAATATGTGGATGAAGAATATGATAAACATAAAAGTAAAAACAAAGATAAATATAAAGAAAAATATGAGGATGAGGATACCGATGAAAGTAAAGATGCAGCTAGAGGAAGAAAGATTAAAATAAAGGTAATTATAGAGAAAAGGATATAGACATAGACTCAATCTGGGGACTATTTCGGGATGTTAGAGATTTTCGGAATTCTCAGGACTTATCGATATAATAATCGATATTTTATCGGTTTTGTTATCGATATTTTTTATCGATTTTGTTATCGAAATTTTTATCGATATTGTTATTGACTTTAAAATCGATGTTTTCGGAACTTATCGATATAATCGATATTTTTTATAGATTTTGTTATCGATATTTTAATCGATATTGTTATCGATTTTATAATAATTTTTTTATAGATTTTGCAATCGATTTTATTATGGATATTTTTATCGATTTTGTTATCGATATTTTTATCGATTTTGTTATCGATTTTGCTATCGATATTATTATCGCTTTTGTTATCGATATTTTTTCTTAAAGTGTGCTTTCGTTTTTGACTTGGATGTGCTCTTACCATACCACGTCTCCGATACAGCCTGCAGACAAAGACGAAGGCGCTGTGCTGTTCCTTTTTTATTAAGTATTCATATTAAGAAATACAGTTGTGCAATTTTTAAATATTCAATAATTAATTCTGTGTTTTGTGTGGAAGGATCTGAAAGGTCCTTAAATGGATTTTGGTTTTGAAAGGTCTTTGTTCTGAAGTAGTCGAAGGACCGTCAGTTAAGGAGGATATTGATTGTGGATCCAGTGAGGACATGAGTTTGCGATGTATTTATCTATTCAGTTCTGGTGTGTAAGTCTTGTGTGTCCGAGTCGTCATCGTATGTATGTATTTTCTCAGCTCGAATCGTGTTAGAGATAGATGTAGATTAATGTTTGGGAAATGTGTTAAGTTAGTTTTGTTCGGATTGTCAGATTTGTACCAGTCAGATGTTTTGTTCCATACGTAGAGTTTAGTTTTTTGTGTAAGTTTAGCTTTCCAAAATTTGTTGATGTTTCATGTGTGCGCTAAAAAAGTAATTTTTAAGCAAAAAAACAACAATAAAATAAAAAATAAAATATTCCGACGAACTGACAACCTCCTCCGTTTCTTGAAGTCGGTTAAAAATAAACGTATGCGACAGCGCTGCGCAAGGTCGTCTGTTGAGTGAGTGTATTGCTTTATTGGTCTTCCATCCACATGGAATGAGTTAAGGCAAATAAGAAAAAATTGATTATGTATAATGTTTCGACTTTACTTATTACCTCGCGCGCGCAATATATCTACATACATACATTATCAGGGATGTTGCGAATATTTGCATTCGCATTCGTTATGCGAATGATTCGCATCATTTTACACATGCGCATTCGACATTCGCATTCGCATAAAATGATACGAATGTTTTGGGAATGCGAATGTGTACATGGGCAGAGAGTACACTCTAATATTGTTGAAATGGGTCTAAGTCTGTCTAACCAGGGTGCGGACAATAATCGGCTTTTAGCTGCAGGCGCTTAACAGTTAAGTATTATATCAAGCAACATTGATGGGCCCTCAACAAGTACTGCTAAACGTCTTATAACCCACCCTGAAATAATTTAAGATTCCTCCAGCTAAAGCGAAAGCTCGGATATAAAATCTGGAGACAATAAAAAATGTGAAACTAAAGCTCAATTGAAGGCCTATCTCAAAGAAAACGAGCTCATATCGGTTAAAATCCTCTTGATTGGTGGAAAACTAAACTAAAATACGACAAATTGACAGTTCTGGCCCGCGAATATTTAAGCGCTCCACCCGCCAGCGTTCCAAGTGAGCAATTGTTCAGTGCAGCCGGCCTAATATACGAACCTCTAAGAAATCGCCTCATGGGAGAAAAGGCAGCAAAATTACTTTTTTTTGAACTTTACAACTAGATTAAAAGACTGTATAGGTTAAGCACTCGTTCAATGTTCTAATAATGATGACTTAAGTTGATTATAGCTTTTTTAATTTTATTCTTAACAATCGCATTCGCATTCGCGAATGTGAAAAATATGACATTCGAAGCATCCCAAATACGATATGGACATATGTATGTATGTATATACTCGTACACATAGAAAATGGTGAATACCAACCATAAGATAAGCATTATGAATCATTTTATATTATGAGTAAACCTTCATTCACAAAATTTCATTAGAAAACACATTTCATTTATTTAATACCCAATTCGCTTTGTAATCTAAAGTCGGATTGTGTTAATATATTACCCGTGCGACAAAAACAAAAAAAAAAAATTCAAAACACACAAAAAAAATCGATATACTCACGAAACTAACGGGTGATTTTTTTGAGGTTAGGATTTTCATGCATTAGTATTTGACAGATCACGTGGGATTTCAGACATGGTGTCAAAGAGAAAGATGCTCAGTATGCTTTGACATTTCATCATGAATAGACTTACTAACGAGCAACGCTTGCAAATCATTGAATTTTATTACCAAAATCAGTTGGCAGAAAATCCGCTTTTTTATCGACAAATTTTGTTCAGCGATGAGGCTCATTTCTGGTTGAATGGCTTCGTAAATAAGCAAAATTGCCGCATTTGGAGTGAAGAGCAACCAGAAGCCGTTCAAGAACTGCCCATGCATCCCGAAAAATGCACTGTTTGGTGTGGTTTGTACGCTGGTGGA